CAACATGACTTGCAGATGTATGTGCTAAAACAAAAAGCTTTCTTTCTTGTGAACAACTTTCTCAGCAGCAGCTATTTTTCAACCCAAAGGGGATTTTTTTTCTACAATTTTAATTTTGTCACATTATCACAGTCTTCATTCATTAATCTTCAGTCCATGTTGTCTGTGTTCAATGAACAATGCTCTTTATTACCACAAGGCAGTTTCTTCAAAATAAAAAACTGTATGCTATAGAAGGAAAAACTCTTCATATTAACTTCCGTATGAACAAGGCTGATTTATTCTAATAATTTGGGATGTTTCCCAGACAGGAGTCTGGAGTCTAAAATGTTAGTCTGCCAAGAATCCAGATTAAAATGCTGTATTCAAAAGAGAGCTGCTCATGCCTGCTGCATTATCATGGCCAATTGTTTCTGAAACAATATCGATCCCTTCCCATTTTGAAAGGTGAAATTGAAACTATGGTTAACAATAGAGGAAAAAGAAGAGAACTACCCTGTTCAGAATGTGCCAGTTTACATTTTTAATGAATGTCAAGTTATTGTAGTTATTTTCAGAAGAATCTGTATAATTCAATTCAATTCAATTCAAACCTTTATTTTCAGAGTACAACATGTGTACAATGAGATTGGCTGAGCCTCCCTTCGTGCACTCCCCCAACACAATACAACTCACAGTGAAAGACAAAAAGAAAATCCCTAGCCCAGTGAATCCTACTAATAAACACTCAGTCCTATTGCACCATGTGAATTTATTGCACGTCATGCCGGCCCAACAAGTCAATTGTGCTATGTTGTTGTAGAGTTATTTTTCATTCAGGAGTCTGTCAGTCCACAGATAAAAATTGTTCTTCAGCCTGTTTGTGCGGCTGCCTATGCTTCTATATCTTCTTCCAGATGGTAGGAGAATAAAGAAGGGCTGACCAGGTTGTGAGTTGTCCCTGAAGATTTTCTTCACTCTTCTAAGGCAGCGAGCCCTAGCAATGTTGTCTAGTGGTATCTGGGGACAGCCCACGATGTTTTGTGCTGTGCTCACCATCCTCTGTAATGTCTTTCTATCAGCGGCTATCAAGCTAGCATACCACACCGTAATGCAATGAGTGAGGACGCTTTCTATTGTGGACTGGTAAAAAGAGGTCATCAGTTGTTGTTCCACTTAATTTTTTCGCAAGACGCTAAGGAAGTGGAGTCTCTGTTGGGCCTTTGTGGCCACCTGGGTCATGTTGATTTTCCAGGTGAGAACTGGTGAATGCTGAGAAATAATTCTGTGCGGGTCTGAAATAATTCTGAGGGAATTGTAGTTAAACCAATTTATAAATGTGATGTAAATACAGTCACCTCCATGAGGGAGGGATGTTAAAATCTTAAAGATGACAAATATGATGTCTCTCCCACTCCTCTGTATATGCAGCAGTGAGAGCGCTTGCTCTCTCTCTCTCTCTCTTCCCCCCTTCTCTCTTTCCTTCCTTCCCTCCCTCTATCTCATAAATAGGCATGTAAATCATGTAAAACTGATTTTTAAAATAAGAAAGCACTGAGTAAAGTAGAAAAATGAAGCTCACAATTGACAGTCATGGCTGGATGAAGGGCAATACATACAAAAATGAATAAGTGCAGCAACTTGGGGTGATGTAAATTTTCACAAAAGTACTGTATGATCCAAAGGACCCTATAATTTTCCTAATCACATAGGAACAAGTGCAACAATAATGATAGCAAAACAGCTGATGCAAAACAAATGATAAGAAGGGAAGATGGATGAAGATGGAAAGAAAATATTTTCAGCATTAGCAGTAAGGATTAATAAGGAACTGTTTTTAAGTAAAGAAGTAATTAATACTAACAACAAAAACTTAGTTTTAAGAAAAACCAATGATTGTTAAGCATAGTATTTAGTGCTGATTCAAAATTATTATTATTATATCACAGAGTCAGCCAGATGTTTTGATTGAATTTGGCATTTTTGAATATCAAGTCCTTTCCAAGGATCTGGGATAGATGTGGATGTTTGATGGTGTTACAGATATTTTTGCAAGATGTAAGCTATTCTAAATAAAGCTGCCTTTTCCAATTGACTGATGGTGAATTTGTCAATGCCAATGGTGTTCAAGTGGTGCTCCAGTTGTTTTAGGATTGCACCCAAGGTGCCTATTACTATTGGTAATAGCTTTGTTTTCTTTTCCCACAGTTCTAGTTCTTTATATTTAGTTATCTTCTCCAGTTCTTTCGCTTCTGTTCTGCTGTCTCCAGGTACCGCCAAGTCCACTATTCAGACTTTTTAGTTTTTATTACATTTGTTAAGTCTAATACGTCATGCAGCAGATGGCTGTCTCTATGAACTCTAAAGTCCCAGAGCAGTTTAGCTTGTCCATTTTCTATGACTTTCTCTATTTATGTTCCCACTAGTTCTTGTTCACAGACAAATAATATTTCTTGCAAATCTTCAAATGCACCATTATTGCTATTTTGTCATGCCATTGTTTGTAGTCAATGTGTACAATATTATTGCAGCATCTAACCAAGTGGCCCCCTGTTTTCTCAGCTTCTTTGCAGATGTGGCACTTGCTCTCTGTTGCTGTCTTCTCAATTCTGGTTTTGTGTGTATTTATTCTTAAGGCTTGGTCTTGTGTGACCAGAATTAGTCCCTCTGCCTCTTTCTTCAACTTTCCTTCTCTTAGCCATCATCAGATCTTTTATTATCTGTTTTCCCTGCTATTTTTTTCTAATGTACTGACTATATAATGTTTTGTCTTCCCTTGCCTATTTTCTGTTCTTCCTTTGTTCTTTCTTGTAGGCCAGTTTGGTTTGGTACTCAGTATGCCTTCCTGGTATACTACTTTCAGTGCATCTTCATCGTTCTTCAGATATTCTTTGCATGCCCTTTTTTCTTCATCAACCATCTGATTACTTGCAATATTCAACGCCTACCCATTTTCCTTGATAGCTAGAATCTGTCAATATCACTCTGAGAATAAAGGGCATGATTCATTGTCACTATTATTCTAGTCTTCCTACCCAGAATTTTTAGTTCTGTTTGAGTCCAATCCACTATTCCAGTTGTGTATCTAATGACTAGAATTGCTCAGGTATTAATCTTTTCCAGACTCTTGATGTTATTTCCATAGAGCATCTTGATTTTGTCAGTTTTTACTATCTTTCCCTTTTGATGGTAAGCATGGCACGTTTGTTGAATCCAAACTACATTGCAACATCTTGGCTGTATATATGAACAGTGTGGGGCAGTGATTCTATTTCAGGTGCCATTTTTTCTATACAGCTTCAAATTGTCCATGCAAAGGAAGTGGGATAGACTGGCAGATTTTTTTAATATTTGATAATCTTAGTCTGAGTTATTCAGTATTGTTGACAGAGAAATCTGTGCAGTCGCGAACAATAGTAGTGAAAGTGAGATTCCTCTCTTGTTGATATTAACCTGTCCCAATTTATCACCATTTATTAGCAATGATGTCTTCCATTGTGCCATCACCTTGCATAAGGTTTCTGATGTTTCTGTTGACTTCTGTTATTTCTAGGCACTTGATTAACTAATCATGTAGTAGTGAGACAAATGCCTTATTGTAAACAATCCATGCTACATTCCCTTCTTTTGCAGTTTTCCAAAGTCAGTCTATCAATTAGGAGTTCATCTTTTGTTCTTCTGCTATTAGGGGAGACGTTCCTTTCTGCCCAGGTGAAAAGGGATTATTATCAACTAGATGCTGTTGGACTGAATCAACTACCACACCAATTAGCAATTTGAAAGTTTTTGCTAAGCAGGTAATTGGCCTGTCCTTTTCCTGGATCTTTCATTATCAGATAGGTCTTGTCAGATGTTAGCAAATTCACCTCCTTACAGTATGCTTTTAAACTTCTTGGCAACAAGCAGACCAGTCAGATGTTTCAATTGCAAATCCATGCAGTTCATCTTTCCCAGTACTGTCCAATCCTTGATCTTCCTTGCCCTTTTCTACACCATTCTGCTATTATTACAAGTTCTTTCACCTTTTTTTAATTCTTATCCAACTCCTTTAACGAAACTGTGTTCTTGTTATAGTATTGAGATTACCTATATCTGCACCCAGAATTGCACTCTTTCATCCTTATCAGGTGCTGACTGATTGACTGAAGTCTTTTCATTGATTAATTGATTGGATTGAAATTGAAGATTTTGCCTATAATTTGCAATTTGACCATCATATCTTCTAATCTTCTTGGTTATAGCTGTTATTTGCAGCTTTATTATTTTCAGTGCTTCTTTGATCATCCTTGTTTCTAAGGAATATTTCTTGATTAGGTATTATTATTTGTCCTATTGTTCTTCAGCTTTTTTTTTTCTAGTTTACTTGCATCTGATTTCAGTTTGCTCATCTTATTTTCCAGCCTGATCATGCATTTTGGTGGTGCACTATTTGGTTCTCCCCCCACCTTCTTTGTTGATTTTGCATTTCTGGCATTCAGTTATAACTGCAGCTGTGTTCTACATTGGTTTGTTTCAGTGAGCTGGTACTTATATTTGATATTGCAGCACTGGCATCTTTTAAAGCTTATGCTAGCTGTTTCTTTGGAATAGGCTTTAAGGTGGGCAACCTTATTCTGTTGTTTTTGTATTGTCCTAGATCAGTGTTGGCGAACCTTTTCAGCATCAAGTGCCAGCATCAGGAGCTCGCACACACATGGGGAGCACCAAAATCCAGAAGAGCAGCTCCCCAGTGTGCACATATGAGATCGCCAGAATCCAGAAGAGCAGTTCCCTAGCATGCATGTGCGCGCTGGGAAAATGAGCTTCTGGTTTTCAGCATGCACATGTGCACCTGGGAGATGCTCTTCTGGTTTCCAGTGGTCCCACATGCACGAAGACCAGCTGGCTGGAACCGCAATGAGCAACAGCTGGCATGCCCGGAGAGATGGCTCTGTGTGCCACTTCCGGCATGCATGCCATAGGTTCGCCATCACAGTTCTAGATGCTCAGTTATTTTTGTTTCAATTCTTCTATCTCTTTAGGTTGAAGGCTCTGTTCTTTCTGAGGCAAAGGAGAAAGTGGCTGGACACATAGTCAGCCAGATGTTTAGACTGCATTTGGCATTTTTAACAACCTGTCAAGTCCTCCCCAAGGACCCAGCAACAATACATTTATGAACATGAAACATCAAGTATGTATTTGCTTCTTTTCATTTTGCTGTACTATTTCTTTTGTGGGGAGGGGGTGAAGCTGCCATTTTATTTCCTAGTTACCTTCCATGTCTTTGTTCTAAGTCTGTTCAGAGTGCTTCCAAACAAATATTAATTATGATATCTGTAAATTTATTTGTAATTATCCTTGGTATCATCATTATGGACTGGTAATGTGGATCTGAATTGTAACCAATAAAAATCATATGCCTGACTTCCAGTTGACATTGTGGCAATAACGGCTGGAAAATAGTGGAGCTCTGCTGAGCTCTGTGAAATGCAGCTGACAACTGCTTGCTGGGAGACCCTAAGGGGTTAAGCCTTCCTGAAGGGGAGGTAAAGAAAGGTGAGGCGCTTCATTGATTGCGAGGAAATCATAATTTCCTTGCTGATCCGAAGAAAGCTCTCCTGAATGTGAGTCGGGATGACAGACATTTTTGGTCAATCACAAGCTGGGACAACCGGGACATTGAGATCTTGTGCTGGAGTGGTGTGTGAACAGAGCAGTGAAACTGGGTGAGAAAATTTCCAACTACTTTAGAGAGTTAATCTAAGTTAAAAGTTCCTCCAAAAATGATCTCCAAATATTAAAAAAGTGGTGATTGGTTTTATGGAGAAAGATTAAAGACTAAAAACTAAAGAGGAAGATTAAAGATTCAGAAGTAAAAGAAAAAAACCTAAAGGATGATTTAAAACATAGAAAGCCTGGAAACAATGTTGTGAAAAGTGACTATCGGGAGAAATTGTTTTTCTAAACTCTATTTCTAATTCTCCTGACTGGATGACAATCAGCTGTTTCTGATTTTTACATTCTGTGAAACGCTGGAAGTTGGGAGCAGGGGAGTCATCTACTGGAGGAAGAAGATTACTGCAATGTGTATAATTTAGAAGACAGTGGAGACAGTAGAGAGAAGTAAAGCTGCTTGTCCTTAACTTTATCGTAGTAGGTGTGGATGCTGGGAAATATTTACTGAACTTTTTGAAGATCCAGAAGGCAAATTAAATTAAACACTAAAACTTTATTGGAATTGTATACTTGAAAGAGGATTTGAAAGACTTGAAGGAACAAAAGAAGAAAAGATAAATAAGACTTTAAAATCTGGACAATTGGGAAGGTGTAAATTGGAAATTATAAAAACTGAAAAGCACAAAACTAATAGAAAATTTGGGGACTAGGAGGAATAACTTTGGGATTGACTAAATCTTATTAATAAGTGATTTTTTGTGGAGTTTTCAGATATTGGGATATTGTAACATTAGAAGTATATTAACTTCTTACAATATGACCCAGCAGAAGACAATAAAGTTCTATGAACAAATGCTAAAAATAGCAGCAAAGAATTTTAAGAAGTTGATAATATTTAAAGATAAAGATGTGAAAGTAGAAGGCTCTCAACAAATGGTAGGAAAAGATGAATATAATATACAGAAGACAGCTGAGAAATTAGAAGGAGTGGTGGAATGGACAAAGCCAAATAAAATACAAAAAGATAAAAATAAGTTAAAAACAGATAAAAATACTGAAAAGACAGCAATAATAAATACTAAAAATCTAATAGACAATACCCTAAGAGCTTATAACAGAATAGGGGGAAGAGGAAGATATTTCAAAAATAATGAAAGGATATGAATAGATATTCAAAAGATGTAGCAGAAGGAGATAAAGAGTAAGACAGAGGGAACAATGGGTTTGTGTAAAAATGCTAGAAAGACATATAGGATTCTAAGAGAGAAACATAAAAAAATCCCTAAAAAAATCAATAAATGATGAAATCCTAAAACGGCTGAGAGACGATGGATAGAGATATACTATTTTGCAAAATAGTAACAATAGAAATAAGTGAAAAGTTTAAACTGGGAAAATAGTTGTATATATATAGACATATAATGGAATTTATTATAAATACAGATACATTAAGATTAGGAGATGGAAGACTAGGATTAGGTATATTCAAAGGTATTATTATGATCAACAGGATGTAAAAATATACTGGAAAATATAGTTTTAAAGGTCTATAAATTCAGGGGACTTAGAGATATAATCTTGGGACTGATTAAATCTTATTGATAAGTGGTTTTATTAGTATTTATAGAAAGTTAAGATATTGAAAATGTGGTGGAACACTGAATGATAAATTGGGAAAATAATATAATATTGACTGATACACAAAAAAATATCATAATTACAATAAGCACATTAAGGCTAGAAATTGGAAGACAACAATTATGTATATGTAATTGTATTATTACTGTGAGTACTGTGTGAAAAATATGTCAACCAGTCATTACACTGTCCACAGAAAATGTTGGTTGTTAAAGAAAAACTGTAAATAAAATATATACAAAAAATAATAACATGCCTTATTTGAAACAAGTTAGTAAAATGGATATATGAACAAGAAGTAAAGATAAAATATAACTGAATATAGTTATCATGAATAAAAAACAATATAAGTTGTTTTGTTTCAGATTTTAATATGATGAAAAGCGAAAGACAACAATTATACTATATAATGTATTGCTATATATTCAAGATTTTTTCTGTATTTGGATATATTATTCAATAAAGTAGTATTTTATGCAAACAAACATTAGTATTCTACAACTTTGTGACTTTTTGTACAGCAGGTAATGGAATGAGCAAGGTTACTGCACTGTTATATAAATAAAGGACTGTACTTCAGATACTATGTCATGCACCACACTTCTTGTGCTAATGGTGCATTAAGGTATACTTGCCCTTTTGAGACCTTACTAATGACTACTACAAATATAAAGCCAAAACTCATGATGACTCAGCAGATCTCTTACTAATGAAGGATCATGGTCTTTATGTTTTAGTTCCCCATTATTGCTTTTGTGAAAGTCAGCATAAATGAACAGCATTTTCCCCCTAGGATTTTAAAAAAGAAATTTACTGATTGGAAAACGATAAAAATGTGCATTTTTTTCTGATTGGATTTCAGCCCAGTATATATAGAGCATAGGTATCTGGTTGAAGCCACAATGACATCATGTGTATCACATTTTCATTTCACAAATGACATCATATGCATCATTTACACAATCAAAATGTATGTAATGCCTAGAAATATCTGTGATATGGGGAGCTTGAAAGCCAAATTGTTTATGTGCCTGATAATTGGAAGAATGTAATTATTGATCCTATAATTGATCCTATGTTCAGAGTGAGAGATAGCATGACTGAATGCTGTAATTTGAGGCAGATAAATCCATAGGTATATATTTGCCAACTTTTGAGAGTTTAAATGTTGAATTTTTGTAAACTCAAATGACTGCCTATGGTACATTCACTTTTGTCAATTTTGTCATGCTGCAGTCTTATTCTACAGTTGTTGAAATTCATTTTTTCTCATTAATCTGCACTCAGTATCCCATAATGACAATGTGAAAACAGAATTTTAAAAATGTCTGTACATTTATTACAAAGAAAAAACCTGCAATATCACTTTGGCATAAGTATTCAGACTCTTTGCAACAACACTTCGAATTTAGCTTCATATGCCTCCTGTTTCTCTTGATTGTTGCTGACATGTTTCTACACCTTGATTGGAATTGAACTATTGTAAATTAAATCAATTGTATATATTTAAAATGGATACATGTCTCTATAGAAGGCCTCACAGCTGACAATGCAAACTATAGCAGAGCAAAAGCCATAAGGTCAAAGGAACTGCCTGCAGAGTTCAGAGACAGGATTATTCTGGGGAAGGCTACAATAAAATTTCTGCTACACTGAAGGTTTCTAAGAGCACAGTGGCCTTCAGAACTCTCAAGTGGAAGAGGTTTGGGACAACCAGGACTCTTCCAAGAACTGGTCACACAGTCAAACTGAGCAATCAGGGGAAAAGGGCTTTAGTAAGAGAGGTGAATAAAAACCTGATGGTCACTCTGACTGAGCTCCAGAGACCCTGTGTGGAGATGGGACAGAGTTCCATCACTGTAGTCCTCTACTGATCTAGGTTTTATGGCAGAATGGCTAGACAGAAGATTCTTCTCGATACAAAACACTTGAAAGCCCAGTTGAAGTTTACAAAAAAGCACCTTAAGGATTCTCAGACTGTGAGGAACAAGATTCTCTGGTCTGATAAACCAAAATTGAACTGTGTGGGCTCAATTCTAAACATTTTATCTGAAGGCATGGTCATCATCTGCCCAATATCACCCAGCAGTGAAGCATGGTGGTGGAACAGCATGCTGTGGGGGTATTTTTGAGCAGCAGGGACTGGGAGACTGTTCTGGGTTGAGGGAAAGCCGAACTGAGCAAAGTACAGGGATATCCTCAATGGAAATCTGTTCCACAGTGCTCAGGATCTCAGACTGGTCTGAAGGTTCACTTTCCAACATGACAATGATCCTAAGCAAACAGCCAAGACAACAGGGACAACTCTGTGAATGTCCTAGAGTGGCTCAGTCAGAACCCTGATTTGAATCCTATTGAGCATTTCTGGAAAAACCTCAAAATGGCTTTCCACCAACAGTCACCATCCTACCTGACTAAGCTTGAGAGGATTAGCAAGGAAGAAGGGCAGAAAATCCTCATTCCAGATGTGCAAATCTTGCTGCATCTTACCCAAAAAGACTTGAGGCTGTAAGTACTACTAAAGGTGCTTCAACAAAGTTCTGAGTAAAGAATCTGAATTCTTATACCAATGTGATACTTCTGTTGTTGTTGTTTTTTCTTTCTAATAAATTTACAGATATTTCTAAACTTCTGTTTTCACTTTGTCATTATGGAGTACTGAGTGTAGATTAATGAGAAAGAAATGGATTCCAACAAATGTAGAATCAGGCTGCAGCATAAGAAAATTGTCAAAAGTGAATACTTTCTGAATGGACTGTATATTAGCTAAAATGAATGTTACATAAATTCATATGATTTATATGACATGTGCTGTATGTGTACATATGTTCATGTGTGTGAGAAAGAGAGGGGAAGAGAAAGGGAGAAAGAGTAAAA